AAGTTTATTTTTTCATATTGTTCCCTCTGGGATGTTCATTTATGCTCACAGGGTGAGGTAGCCATTAATCACCGTATTGATGTGAAGTCATACACTTCATTGCATACTCTGGTACACGACATGTTCCCACCAACATCACTGGTCGAGCAGGTACTACTGTGACAGAAATACCAACAACAAAAAAATTTGGACTTGGAAATTTCATATTTTTTTTTCATAGTTTACTGCATATAATAACATCTTGCGTACACATTATCCATGCAGGAAGATTATAACTCTTGGAATTACTGGAAAATACCCTTGATAGATATCTAAAACCAGTAGAAGTTTTATTTACTGGTGAGTAATGTTGGACAGATTCATTCTCTACCAGGATTCTGGTAATCATTCCCAGTTTTGCTGTAAAACTAGGTTCTAGCAAGCTCATTTAAATGTAAAAAAAATGTAAAAAAAAACTCATTTTTGTAATGAACCTGCCAAAAAATCTGGCTTATAAGCTGCTCTTGTCCGAATAATTTATTGTTAGTTCTCCCTTGTGATTATTTTACTTCCATGTTTCGGTCTATGCTATGCTGTTGTTTTATCTGCATGCTTTTTCACCTGTTTTTCTTTGTACTTTTCTTCCTGGGATGCATCTATCTAGGATGATGCATGATTTTGAAAGAATGAATGTCGAACACTTGATAACTGCAAAGGCCTTTTTCTTGTATGGGATGAGTAAAAGGGGATGAAAAAGGATCTTTGGCATTTCGGATATTAAGCGAGCATATTTCCCGTTTGAAGTTGGCTACATGAATCTTTTTCTCGACTCCGTTCTATTCATGTTGAGATTCTTGGGAACATTAAAAACAATTAGGTTTTTAGCAACAATTACATGACACCTTATTTTTGGTCTACCTCCTCGTTTGACCTGTGTTATTGAGATTGTATCAAAATCGCTTCAATTTACACAAAACACCCATCAACTGATTAAGTCTTCACTTTTTTTAATTTATCCAAAATCGACACTACCCGACCTTGTTGATGTCTATTCTCATTTTTTATGCATTTTAATATGATTGCGACCATCTTGTTGTCCTTATTTCTTCTACTATCTTCATCTCGATTGCATGGCTGATTATTTTTTAAGCATATATCTTGATATTTGAATATCATAGGTTAAATTTTTAACTTTTCATATTTCAGTACTAATTATTCAATTTCAGATTCATCTTTAGAATGAAATTAAAGAGTCGAAACAAGACTCTCTTTGCTTTTTGGAAGTTGTACACGAATGGAAAAAGGCCCTTTTTTGAAACGCTCTTTTCTTAGTAGGAATCACATTCACATGTCAGTTTCACTTTTTATCAATTTTAAGCCACAGTTTTGGGCCACAACAGAAAAGGGGTCAGGCACTACACTTTTAACTTTTTAGTTTGTCAGATCAGCTCATGTGACCATTCTAATGCACAGTAAATTTTATTCACTAATATCCTTTTTTCTTTTTTCCTTGTAATACTCACATGCATGATGCATCTATAATGATTTACATACAGATAATGTGTTAAAAAGATGATTATTTCTTTTTTTAGTTTGGTTGAAAAAATTCCGAAACAATCATACCTCATCATATCATATGTATATGAACAATTGTGTACATTAGCTTAGCATAACCATAGACTTCACATGCATTTCAAGAAAATCTTGTTGAACAAAAATTAACACAACTTAGTGGAAAGAGTGATTATATTGAGTATTTGAATAGACGTAGAGATGAACCAATAGAATTATAGAGTTTAACTCTTGATTATTTTTCCAAAACAATAAGTTCACTTACTTAAGCCGCTGTTAGAAAAGAATTTATAAACGATTTATTTCATAAATAAATAGAAATGAGTAATATATAAGTGAATAGTATTTTGTGTTCATTGAAATATTGTGGTTGAAAATGCATTTTATCCCGAACGGAGGTAATTAAAAAAGTTTGTGATCTTAGAAATATGAGAACGTGTAAGGTCCTTTAAGCTTCGTCGCTTGGCACATGAAAAGCATCGCATAGCCCAACGTGTAACATATTGTATTGTGAGCTACATTAGGTCTAGAATCTAGTCGTGCTAAGTTCAATTGTCGAGGGCTGCAGTTCAAGTTAGTCGGTATACATGACTGCTATCGAAAAAAAAAAATTATGCCAAAGGAAGTAAAAGCTTTAGTTTATCACGCCAAAAGAAAAAAAAAAAGGTCGGTTCAATTCAAAATCAGAGTTATGTTAGGTCGACACTTCCACTCCTACCTTAAAACTCGAAAATTCTCGACTTAAATTTACTAATAATAAGATTTAATTTTTTTATCTTTTATTTTATACGATGCGATTTAATTCTCATTTTTATATTTTGCATTTTCCTAAGTAATCTCCCTACACAACTCCCACAAACCAATTGGTTGATGCCGCATGGGGTTTGCTTAATTTTGGCAAACAAAAAAAAGTAAGTATAAAGAGATTATTACACGAGTATGGAACAAAAGCCTCGAGCATTGAGTGCAAAACTTTCCATTCTACGATGTTTGGACACTAGTAAAATGTTGTACCCCCTTGTTTTGACGAACTCAATGAGATTATCAATAAGTGCTTATTTCTTGCAATTTAATTATAAGTTGGGGTGCAAAAAACCATGTTTTGAGGAATGGGCTTATTTCGAATTTAAAGTTTTTGTTTCAGACAGTTGTGGGTGTTGCAGGGATTATTCAATTCTTAGCTCTCATTATAATAATAGTGTTGCTTTTGGACTCAAGTGGAGAACCATACCTCTATAAATCTGTAAAAATTCATTTAACTGAGTTGTAAATGGCACTTGTACACAGTGGTGTAGAACTGTAGTGGAGAAATTTGTAACAAAATCTTTCGTTTTTCGATCCCATCTTATTCAGTCTAGTAAATTTTACATTAGATCAGTTCGATATAATTTTTCGTAAATGATTTTTTCTTTCAAAAATATAGGCCACGAGGGCTAGTCCACCGTGCTGTGGGCCGTTATTTTTCATGCTTCGAGCACGCTTCTACCCGTCTATCTAATAAACAAAACACATTAGAGACTTTTTTGTTGCACACGAAACTTGTGCAAAATAATCAAGTCGGGGAGGTTTAGCTTCAGTTTGATAATTTATATATCAATTTATGAAGACGAATATATTGGATTCGAAGAAATGAGTGAATGATAAATTAGGATTAATTATGACTGTGGGTGAAATTAATATTTGATTTTAACTGAATTTATAAATTGATTACCAACAGGAGGCTGAGCTCATCCTCACTGTAGATAATTTATGTAGCTTCCAAGATTAAATGGTACTGAAACAAAATTTTAAATTTTTTGCCGTTCAATGCAATGTGTAGTAGCTGTTGGATCTTCATCAGTAGGATATTTTGGTTACAATAATTTGAAAGGCTAAAAAATATTTTCTTTTTACTTTTTTAGTAAAAGAAATTATTACTGATTTTTTTTTGTTTGCTTTCATGCTTTTCTGAATTGGAACCATCTCTCTTTTAAAGGATTCTCTGCCCGAGCATTTTCCCCATCTGCACATCTTCCCATAACCAAGCATCTTCACAAACTAACACACACAAATCCACCCACATTAAGATTCACAATCTGTTCTAACACAAAAATGGCCACAAATCTTGAGTGCTCAGATGAAGATTACATAGACATGGAATTATGTTCTTCATCATCCTTAAACTTTGCAAATTCTTCACCAAAAAACAAGGATTTTGAGTTTCAAATGTCTTCCGTTTGTAGCGAAAAAGACACAACAACTTCTCCAGCAGATGAACTGTTCTACAAAGGCAAACTCCTACCTCTCCACCTCCCTCCAAGGCTGCAAATGGTGCAAAATCTCCTTTCCACCACCTCCAGCTGCGGCGGCGCCACCAACAAAGAGGGCTCCTTCCCATTCATTAGTTCTTGTTCTACGGCACCTTGTACCAACACAAACACCCCATTGGACTCATGCAACATTTCTCCTTCAGAATCATGCAGGGTGAGTTGTGAACTGAACCCGGATGAATATTTCTTTGAATGGTCCACTGAATTAAGCAGTTTCATAAAAAATAATCATAATCATCATCCAAAAAAAAGTTGGACCTCCAAAAGGCTCAAGTTTATTAAGCATTCTATATTGGGTTCAAAGCTCAAGGCTTCAAGGGCTTATTTGAAATCTTTATTCAGTAAATCCGCTTGTTCAGAAGCCGAAATCTTGTCCAAAAATGAGAACTTTTCAAATAAGTACTTTAAAGTAGCCAAGAAAAATCCAACAATAGGTTCTATAATCAAGAATATTGAGAAAGAAGGGATTGAGGATAATGTTCATAGAAGATCATTTTCAAGTGCAATCAAACGACATTCGCCAACAAAGTGTTTGTCTTCTTCGTCGTCGAATTCATCCTCTGCTTCTTCGTCTTTTTCGTATAACTTGAATAATGTTCATGAGTTACATTTTCTCAAGAGGAGCAGTAGTGCACCTGAGAATGAGGGTTCTATTGAGGCAGCCATTGCTCACTGCAAGAAATCTCGACAGCTCCCGGATTCAATAAATGCGTCACGGGATTCTGCATTCTGCAAATTTTCAAATTCCAAGATTGCAGATGGTGAGGATCGAGAAAAATCACTTGTTATTTTACGTCGTTTGGGTATAATCGAGAAGTAACCTCGCAATGTAAGCTGGTCTTACTGTGATGAGTTATTCTTGTGTAATTTTCTCATGGTATCTGAGCATGTGCAGGCGAATGAAACCTCGCATTTTAACTCGATTTGACGATAATGAGTTAATTCCTTTTCATTTTTTTCATCATTTGAATTTCGTTAATTCTGCTGCGGGAAAAATGTTGGCAAGGATAGATTTCAAGAAAGTCCATTTCTTGCTGAAATTTTGGATTGTGCTGCACCCAATTAGGCTAAGTATTTTGCAATGTTACTGTATTGACATGTCCAGTTTGTTTAATTATGCCTGTTCAAGAAAAAAAAAACTACTCTGTCAATTTTTCATTCAACAAATAATTATAGTTTGAAACTGTGTCTGCTGTTGGCTTATTTTTACAGTGTCAAATCCACTGGTGAAGTCCAGTGAAGCCTATGCTAGAGAATCTCTCCAAAAGATATGGCTCTATTTGTTACTGCAAGTCTGCAACAAGTGTGTCTTGTCCTTGCCAACATTAGATTTCTTTTACTACTCTATTCGATTATTTACCACGTTTATTTGTTTGAATAAAAGGTCTAGAACAACAAGATTCTTATCAATGCGTACTCCTCCCTCTTTTATCATATTCATCTAAAACTGTCTCACTTTTACGACATGTACCCTTTTTGGCTTAATAGGATACTCTCGACTACCTAATTTGTCGTCTCTTCAAGTTATTTAGAATCGGCAACACTTTTATTTGCTTATGTGTGTGTGACTATATTCTGGTTGTGGTCTTTGATTGTCAATGAAATTCTTGCTTTAGGACTAACCAAAAGAAATACCTGCGAAAGTAAAAGAGAAGAAAAGTACACTTTTCAAAGATGAAAAAAGGTCAGAAAATTGGCTTTGACGCACTTCTGTGATGCCTGCCTTTTGAGCAGAAGTTACTTTGAACTTTCTACTTGGATGGATGATGCAATTTCTAGATGTTGCGTGCATATCAGCAATTATTTCAAGAAATATTGTGAAACCAGTATTTGAACTAATATGCTAGAACACTTGGGAATGCTGAAATTATAATATCGTCATTAGGAATCTGATGGAGTGATTTTGAAATCTGAAATACTTGGAAGTTTATTTACAATCTAACTTGGCCAAATAACCGGCCCTCTCCTATATAAGCAGAAAAGATTAGAATCACATATACTAAGCAGAAATGTCGTCTGTCTCCTCGTGGAGAATTGGACTCTATTCTCAAGAGCCCAGAAACTAAATCATAGAGCGTAAAGATTCCTATACTCGTCATCAGAAATCTCAGAATCTGTCATCACTGACACGGACCACGATTGTGATCGACTATTTCTTGCAGACTTTCGAAGGCTCTTCAAGTTGGAAGCCTCAATCCTGTGCATGATCACCCAGTAACACAACGTTCCTAGTGTGGTAGCCATTATCAAAGTTCCTATAATGGTCACTCCGATGGCCAACCATCTCTCATCTTTTCCCACAATGATGTAGCACAGTGCAATAAATGCAGCTGATATGAACGCGCAAGCCAGCCACATTAGCTTGTTAATAACAGCCATCATTCCCTTCTTTGCTTTCCTCTTTACAACTACCACAGAAGTCTGCACTACAACAACTGCTAATGATATAAAGAGTGCAAGAGAGTCAAATATGAAGAAGATAGCAAATTCGATGTTTGGAGCAATATTTGCTTCTCCTTGAGAAAATCCAGGGGGAACTTTTTTAGTTTCATCTGGATACTGGCCTGGAAGTGTAAAAATGGCAGCAAATGCAACTGTAGCAATAAGAACTGCAACAACTGTAGTGGAGGTAATTGCATTGTTAAGCCCTTCTCTATGCATTTTGTTAAGCCTTTTGGTTATACCTCGCATTTTTCTCCGCGTTTGTCGTGTGTGCTCGAGCTGGTAGTGAACTTCGTGTTTTATGTCACTTACTGTTTGTTTTAGTTCTCTGGCTGCAATTGGTGCTGGTTGTGTTTTCATGTATTTTGCACTTTGAACTCCATATTCTTGAAGAATTGATGCAATCTCTGAATGTCCGGTCTTCTCAGCAGTGTCGATAGCCGTCTCACCAGACTTGTTGACGGCTTCTTTATTAGTCCCGTGGTGTTTTACTAGGGTCCGGACAATCTGTAACAATTAAAACCAGAATCAATCGAGAGAGTTATTTTCTCCTTGAATTATTATCCTTTTGCTCGAAAGCTAGATTCCTACTATAAAATACTTCTAATGAAGAAATTTTATACCTGTGCTCGACCCTTTCTCGTTGCCATATGCAATGCAGTATTGCCCTTTCCGTCAACCATTGTAACTAAAGCAGGATCCGATGCAACAAGTGCGTCAATTACTTCAGTACTGTGCCCCTTAGCAGCCATATGAAGAGCAGTCTGTCCCTTCTTATCATTCCATGTAGCAATGCCTTGTTCTTTGCTTAAAATGGCCTTCACCACCTCAAAATGGCCATTTCTTGCCGAAGAATGCAAAGCTGTTTTCCCATTATTCCGCGCTATGGTTGCGAGACTGCTGTTATTCTCCAAGAGGAATTCGACCACCTCAACGTGGCCTTGTGCTGCTGCAGTGTGCAATGCTGTCGTATTTGATTGATCCACCGTCGCCAACAGTTGTGGGATTGCCTCCATAAGGATCTTCAATACTCCTGCAGTCGACATCTATTTTATTAGAATGCTCGACCAATCTCCAAGTTCATCATGTGGAAGTCAACCAAATAGAATGACACTCTGAACAATTATTTAAGCATAGTCCTCTTTAGTACTCCATATCAAACATGACCCGAGTATTTTCAAGAATCACAGGCTCTTCGAAGTATTTGTTTTGGAATCATAATAAGAGGTTTTAACAAAGAAAACAGCCTCAAACTGCGGAGCGCGGTGGTTTTAACAAACTTAAAATTGATAAAAGAGGTTTTTCAATAAAGATCTCTCTGTCTCTGTATCTCCTTATCTCTATATTGAAATGGCTCCCCCTAATATCTTATCATTGGATAAATGAACAGTATAATTAGACTTCAAGTGAGGGGCGGGACGGAAGAGAATGTTACAGAAACTTACCCAGTTCTCGCTGCTTGGCAGCGATATGAAACGCATCAAAACCATTTTTAGCTTTGATTCCAGCAGATCCAACATCATAAAACTTCATCATCTCCTCCACGAGATCAATACGACCACTTTCTGCAGCAACATAAAGCGCGGTTTCGCCTGATTGATTCTGCTTAGACAACAATTCCTTCAACTCTTCATCCCCACAATTTGTAATAATCTCCACAGCTGCTTGTAAATTCCCTGCTCTTACTGCTGAATGCAATGCAGTATCATCTCTTTTCCCTGTTAACTGCTTCTTCATCTGCTTCTTTGCTGGAACTTCCATCAGATTACTCTTTTCAAAAGAATCCCAGATCAAATTGCACTTATGAGAAAATAATGGATTGTTTAATTATGCAAAATTCTTCCATAGCAATAAAATGGATTAATTTGGGAACTTCAGTAAGTTTTAAGTCAACATTTAGCAATCATATTTTCGACAAGACCTGAAAATTTTCAACTCATAAAGCAAAAGGTCAAACTTTCCAATCCATTGCATAGAGGAAATACTTAATCCTAAGAATATGATTAATAATTGTTGACTTCAAAAATCGCCAAAAACGGCGATATTGATTAGAATCTTCAAATTCTACTTACGCCAGAGTGTTCCTGGTGACGACTGGCGACTTTTGACGTCAACAGTTCCCTTAGTAAGAAAACAGAAGGCAACACAAAATTAACAGATGATTATTTACCTGGGTTTCATAGAACAGAACTACTCATTAGGTAAAAACTATGAAATTCATGGACTGAATTAAGACATAAAAAGCTGTTTTTGCTGCAGAAAATAATGAACAATCAGTCATAAAGGATATGACAAATAGAGGTGATGGCATGGTGTCGAAAATGTAGAGGCCACAAAAATTAAGAGGTGGGTGTATAATCACTTATCTTTGGATATTCAAGCTTATAAATCACTTATTTTCTTCAGTTACTCAACCTCAAAATAAGCAAAAACACTCTGTCAGATATACTATTTTTTAATTGAACGAACCATTTGTTAGCTTCGATATTCTGTTAAAGCGTGTTAAAAAATTAGTTAAAAATATGATCTATGCTTTTCACACGTGCAGAATAAATTCATTTCTCGAAGATAGGAAATTGTTGAAAATAAGTTTGGGATAATTATTGTTATCTGATGTGACTGGATCAGTGAAAATGATGAAAAAAAAATGTTGGTTGACTTGAAAAGCTAAGCAACAGTAAGTCAAGTCCGCCTTCTTTGTGAAAGCCCTCGTGGGATTTATGCTTTACGAATTATTAATAGGAAAAATTGCAGTGAACATCCCCAATTTATATGTATATTGAAGATTGGTCTTGACTTTTATTTCTTAATATTCAAATTCTCGAAAACTTTTTAACTTTATATCATG